GACACTGACCTTTGCAACTCCAAGCACCCGTCAGTGACTCATTCCCTTATAATGATACTCTAGTGAAATTAGCTATCCCCATTCTCCAAGCACCCATCAGTGACCATTCCCTTATAATGATACTCTTGTAAATGGAAGAGAATGATTCTCAAGCAGTTCACCAGCCAGCCAGCCCACCACTCAGCCATCATCACCACCAAGAGTCCTGCCACAACGTGGCAACCATCCATCCCCCACCCTGTATGTTATCCTGGAATGAGATCCAAATGCCTTCAAGATATTTCTGACATGCCTTTGCAACTCCACTCGATTACCTGCATGTGTTTGTGCACGATTCTGTATAGGGTTTTAGCAATATATTGTACAAAGATGGACTAAAACCCTTTCATATAAACCACTATACTACTTTTCTTCACACCAAATATCTTATAAACCATTCTTCCCACGAAAACAATGTTGGATCCATTTTTTAATGATCTTTTTTTATACAAGTCAACATTTGTATTGCTATAAAGAGTTGGAGTAAAAATTGGTTTAAATCCAAGAGTCCCCACTAGACAGGGCTCTCAGTAAAAAATAGGTCAGTCGCCCCTATACAAAAATGGGCTCATAGATTTGCCCAATTACAATAGATTTACATTGAGATTATAAAAAATGGGCTTATAAGTTTGCAACTACTGCGTGTACCCTCTGTGGTCCAAAGCAAAAAACGAGATGGACCGGGTTTGGTCTTCAAGTTGGGCCCTAGCCCCATCCTTTGCCAAGAGATAGGCTAACTCGTTTAATGTCCTCGAGGTATGCATCCATAAGACGACCATATCCCTGCAGATGTATGCGATCGCATCAAAAATCGAAGCGAGATACCATAGAGGAGTGGATCTCCCGGTTGCTCATGATATAATATTACGTGCATCTCCCTCCACTATAAGGTATCGCCCCCAAGAATGATTAAAACTTTTCATGCCGAACAGAAGCTTCGGCATACTGAGAATCTTGAAAGCCAAAATACTCGGAGTAAGTTAACAAGATTGTGCAGTGCTGGTCTCTGAAGACACCTCCCGCACCTGTATGACCGGGGTTCCCCAGAGAGCAACCATCGAAGTTAAGCTTTATAACTCTTTCTGGGGGTGGTTGCCAGTTGTGAGATCTTTGCGTCTTCCATGGACGGTGGTGCAGGATGTTTTCCCATTGGCTTAGGAAAGTATTTACTGAGAACCCCGAAAAGATCCGCTGATTGGATGCTCAAAAAGTTTCTAAGCACGTAACCTTGTGGAATAATGCTGGACCTTGGGTAGTAAGGCCTTGGACTATCCTGGAATTTCTCTCTTTCCAGTTAACCCAAACGGTGGCCGCCACGACAGCCTTCCAAAGGATTCGTCCAGGCTCCGGCCAGTGAGGAGCAGAGTCCGAAGATAAAAGATCCTTGACTGTCGGAGGCATAACCCATTGGACCCCGAATAGCTGCAACATTTGACCCCAGAGATCGTGGGCCATGTTACAATGAATGAAGAGGTGAGGATTTGATTCTTCCTCGCATAGACACATGACACATCTGTCGGGAATAAGAATCCCTGTGTCGGGAATAAGAATCCCTTTCTTTTGAAGCTGATCCACTGTAAGAGCCCTTTAGGACCCCGCTATCCAGTTGAAAGTTTGCACTCTAGGAGGTGCTATTGTGGACCAAACCTTGGATACTACAGAAGGGGGATTAAGCGGGAAAGTGGGCGGTTGGATAAGTCTTTTGTAGAAAGAAGCCACAGAGAAAATACCAGAGGGTACAAGAGACCATTAAAGGTGATTCTTACGATTTTCTTGAACGATAAGAGGTATCACTTATTCTATTTAAGTTAGGAGACTGAGCCTTTCGAAATTTATAATGTTTAAGTAAAGAAGAGTATACATATATTCTCTTCGAGTAAAGGAGACTAAGCATCTATGCTACCTTCTGCTCACCTTATGTGGGTCGCACCAACATATCACAGTCCTCGAATTCTTTAAGATAATCCCACAAAATAAGGGATTTAAATCATCTTACGTCAATGCAATCAGACAATCCACAAAAGAAGGGATTATCCATCTGAGTTTATCACTCTATACAATCTAAGACTCCACCAAAAAACGGATCCACAATCCTCTCTCACTCGTTTGTACCCGTGCAATGCACGGGCTGCATACCATGAAATCCACATGTTGAGTTGCAATGGCAGACTCTAAGAGGCTGAACCCAATCCTCTTCTCTACAGAATCAGCCTATAAGTAGAGTCATAATGCAGCCCTTGATAGTAGATGATTCACTTGACATTATAAAATGATAAAGGCAGTCACTGGCCCATGGAAGGTCCATATATTACTCACAAGGTTAGTCGACAAACACTGTCTCAATGAACTAATCAGGTATCTTTCACTACATTTTTGGCTCTAAATGCAGCCTTAGAAATGGATTTCATTTTTGCAAAAATATTTGTCTAGATAGAAACTTGTGTAAGAACCTTTTTCAACAGAATAACTATCAAATGCATCAAACTTCTAATACTGATTACTTCATAAGCAAGTGAAAAAACAGAAAATACTCTACTCTAAGTAAGTTGGTTTAGGTATCACTTGAATCTTTGAACCTTCAAATTGCTACAGTTGAGACAAGGTAGGACCTGACAAGTCTTCAAGTCTTGCAAGTCTCAAGCTTCAGGCCCTGGCTGAATGACAAATCCATCACTTAGTGAACCTAAGAAACCTGATATGAAAATCAAAAGTTGTTTTTACTTTTTGGGCAGTCTTTTTTTTTTTTCTGTTGATTAGTGGCAGTCCTTCAGTTTTTCTTTCCTTGGTTTATGCTTTTTTTTATGTTGAGGGGGCAGCAGCGGATGGGGGGGTTGATTTTGGGAAAATGTCTCATACAAACCTGCGTCTACCACATAAAACTCGGAGAACTACACCATACACAATGTGTATGCGTATGTTACACAGTTAAATCATCCACTGGGCATTCTCAGTGACAGGGTGTGGAGAATAACTGCAGCTCCCAATGACAGGCATTCACTCAGTTATGATTAATGTCCACCACATCTTTTCGAGAACAAATGGGTAACGACCCTGCTGTGAACCATATGGCAGTATACTTTCCCAATGGTTCGCACAAATGAAACTAACAATCCAGTAACAAAATCAAACAACACTTTATTATCCCCCATAACAAAAACACCAGAAAATGTGTCTTCTCTCATTTGGGGATTGAGAAAAGAATTCTACTTGGATTTACTTGTACTCATCAAATGGAATAAAATAATGCCGACGTTCCAGGCTCATTGCATGAAAATTAGCATAAAATACAAAAAATATCTCCTTCATAAACTAAAACAATACTGTTTTATTCATCAAATAAGACAAAACAGATACTTGCCTATCAAAATAAAATAAAATAACACAGATAATCTTAGCATGGTTCACTGGTTCCATAATAGTAAGAGTAATGTGCATTGTTGTTTTCATAAACATATGTTGATAGTGATTTCAGGTACTCATATACCAAAAACTTGTGAGATAAGTTAGATAATTATAACCAATAACAGACAAAAATATTTACATCTTCACTTTCCAGTCAATAGGCCATTCAATTAATTAAGAGTTAAAATAAAATATTAAAAAATCAACACCAGATGCACCAAAATCCAGATGCAAATCATCTCGTGTTCAATCAATATGCATGCTCAATAGGCACTAAAATGCTGACAAGAAATATTGAAAATCAAAATTAATAATGATTTCTCAAGAAAAGTCAAATTGATGTCATTGTCAATATGTAGAACTAACAAAAATCCATTCAATGTGCACATACTCAAACATGTGAAAGTTTTGCAGAAAACAAACATCTATCATTTCTTTCACAATTAAAAAAATTGATGAATAAGTATTCAAAATGATAATCATCCCATCATTGACAGAAAATCTTCCTGTGAGATACTAACCCCTCATAATACAGACCCCTTTGGTGTTTTCGTGTGTGCACAATCAAATGCGTTGAAGCTCATCACAAAGAGAGATACTGGCCATGAACATTTCTTTACCAATAAAAGAAGGTTATTGAGGCAAAAGAAAAATGAAAAAGAAGTTCATCACAAAGAGAGATACTGGCCATTAACATTTCTTTACCAATAAAAGAAGTTTATTGAGCCAAAAGAAAAATGAAAAAGCCAACGGTTCTTCCATTAGTAGAGAGATTTTTGTCATTGTCATATATTACCTCTTTCAATCTGTCATAGAAGGAGCTGAACACATTCTGCCCACTTGCAGTTTGACCTCCAAGAGCAGCAATCTCATCTTTCCTAAGATTATCCTTGTCGTCGTAGAGCTCAACCTAGCGGGAGATACAAGAAACATGCAAATTACAACTTTCCAGATAATGAATAAAACCATACTGATGTAATACAAAGAAAAGAACGAGGCCCTTATCTAATTTCCGAAGGTGAGGCCCCTATCGATTATATAGCAAGAAATGCATAAACAATTCGTCAAAAAAAAGCAATAAAATATCCATTCAGAATAGAGGGAAGGAAACAAATAACTGCATCACAACAAGAACGAAACGCTTTTCAAAATTCGACACCTTTCATTTTGATTGATACTCGACAAAGGAACATCTCAACAATAAGAGATAGCAAATAAAAGGTATGATTTTCTAGAGGAAAAACATCATGTTAACAGATATGAGTTCATTCATAATTTCTAATGGAGAGAGCAATTACGAGTTCATCGGTAGTGTGAATAATCTTATCGACAAAACCACGAACTCGATGGTTCTGAAACAATCTCTCTCTAGTCATCGATGGCTCATGCTGCAAGTCCTTAACAGCGAGGCGCTCAAGCCGCTCTATTTCCTCGTGAGCGCATCTACTGGTTCAAGCACGGGGGGTTTTGAGCGTTCCAGGGCTTCTTTGAAAATTGGAGCATGGGAATTGGAAATTAGGAAACAAAAAGTTTATATAAAAATTACGAAAGAAAAAGGTTGTATAAGGGCGAGTGACGTGGTATAAATTCACCGGAGACTAAAACCTGACAAAGCGTTAAAGAGGGAAATAAAAAAAGTGAAGGAAATTATAAGAAAAATAAAAACCCTAAAAAAATCATAAAAAATAAAAATTGTGAAAAAAATTACAAAAAAAAATAAATGTGTATTCAAGTCATCTGCTACGATCCATAAACACAAGCGGGAAAAATATATCGCCTCTCTCTCTCCACCATAAGTAAATAATCAATTTCTTTATTTAAAAAAATTTCAATTCGCTTTATATGGTGTGTGCCCTTTTCTTTTATGCATTTAAATCACCATTTAACGTGACTCTCAAAAGATAGCCTCTAGTGTATCTTCTTACTAAAAACCATAATAATTAACCAAAATAAATTTCTCTCTAAATTTTTCCATATTCCTCCATTTAACTTCTTGAAATATAACTGTCACTCGCTGCTTCATCTTTTCCACCTACATAACTCATTATTGTTTCTGGTTTTAATTCAACCCAAAGTAATCCATATTCATTTATTTCTTTTATAAAACAAAAGATAGCTACCGTACCACCCAAGTCATACCTTAAGGTGACGTTTCTTTGCATTTCTACGACCTCCTGTGTAAAGAGAAGTATTTCTAAACATGGCCTTCTATCTAACTTCTACACATAACATATTTCCTAGAATATAGAATTGATCAAATTAACCTAATATATATATATATATATATATATATATATATATATATTGATCCTATTACTAATAAATTAACTACTAATAAAAATAAAATTACGACTACTAATAAAATAAAAATAATTAATTACCCTAAAATTAGAAAATAATAAAA